TCCATGGACACCCTATGATGACATTGTAAGTCGTTTCCTGATTCATGATGTGGAATGTGGTTTCCAGCGTGACTCCTCCTTCCAAGACTAGCAGTGATATCTCTCCGGAGGTTCGCTCTACTACATTGTTAAAACTTGTTAGGGTTGTGCAACGCGGTATTATCTTATCTTCGAGCCTCATTTGCATGAGAACTCTTGGGTGGATAATACACTCACCGCTTCCGTCGTCTACCATGATTCTTTTCACATCAGTATCAGCAATGCGAAAAGTTATAACTAAAGCGTCGTAATGAGGAAAAGACAAACCGTCGGTATCAGACTTATCGAAGGTGATACTATCTTCGAAGTCATCATACCATTCATGAGCAATCGTGCGCTTCAACTTGTGTGTGGTGGTGAACTTTACATGGTTGATTGCTGAGTCGTCGCCGCCACCGACGATCATCTGTATTGTGCGTGCTGGAGAAGGTGGTTTTGGTGGTCCTTGGGATTGGTCGCGTCCTCTGGCAAAATTAGCCCTTCCTTTATCGCTGAGCAGCTCCTTCAGGTATCCCTGGTTCAACATTATGACCACCTCCTGTCGTAGACCTATCCAATCTTCGGTCTTGTGTCCTCTTTCTTGATGGAATTCGCATAGGACGTTCGACCTCCTTGTACTAGGGTCTGATTTCATTTTTTGTGGCCACTGCACCTTCGTGCCCAGCTTCTCCAGTGCGTATACTATTTCTGAAGGAGAGACACAAAAGTTATGAGCGGATAATAATGGGGCATACCACTTTCATTCCGAAGCGGGGCGGCATGTCGCTGCACGACATCTGGATGCCTTGGAGGAGGCGGATTGGGAGTTCTGACGTAGGGCTGATGCCTTTCTCTGTTGAAGCGCGGGAGTTGTTCTCGTCGCCCGTCGTTGTATCAGGCATCAGACAAGGGCGCGGTTCCCTGTATGGGCGCCGCAATGGCCCTCGTACACCTCTTCTCATACTTGTCTCGTTTGATGTGGCCCAAGGCACTTAGCCTGAGTCCCAGTTCGAGCGAGGTCGAACTATCAAACTTCAATGGCGAAGGCACTTAGCCTGAATCCCAGTTCGAGCGAGGTCGAACTATCAAACTTTGATGGCGAAGGCACTTAGCCTGAGTCCCAGTTCGAGCGAGGTCGAACTGTCAAACTTTGATGGCGAAGGCACTTAGCCTGAGTCCCAGTTCGAGCGAGGTCGAACTGTCAAACTTTGATGGCGAAGGCACTTAGCCTGAGTCCCAGTTCGAGCGAGGTCGAACTGTCAAACTTTGATGGAGAAGGCACTTAGCCTGAGTCCCAGTTCGAGCGAGGTCGAACTGTCAAACTTTGATGGCGAAGGCACTTAGCCTGAGTCCTAGAGCGAGGTCGAACTGTCAAACTTTGATGGCGAAGGCACTTAGCCTGAGTCCCAGTTCGAGCGAGGTCGAACTATCAAACTTTGATGGCGAAGGCACTTAGCCTGAGTCCCAGTTCGAGCGAGGTCGAACTGTCAAACTTTGATGGCGAAGGCACTTAGCCTGAGTCCCAGTTCGAGCGAGGTCGAACTATCAAACTTTGATGGCGAAGGCACTTAGCCTGAGTCCCAGTTCGAGCGAGGTCGAACTATCAAACTTTGATGGCGAAGGCACTTAGCCTGAGTCCCAGTTCGAGCGAGGTCAAACTATCGAACTTTGATGGCGAAGGCACTTCACTTAGCCTGAGTCCCATTTTCGAGCGAGGTTGAACTGTCGAACTTTGATGGCGAAGGCACTTAGCCTGAGTCCCAGTTCGAGCGAGGTCGAACTGTCAAACTTTGATGGCGAAGGCACTTAGCCTGAGTCCCAGTTCGAGCGAGGTCGAACTGTCAAACTTTGATGGCGAAGGCACTTAGCCTGAGTCCCAGTTCGAGCGAGGTCGAACTGTCAAACTTTGATGGCGAAGGCACTTAGCCTGAGTCCCAGTTCGAGCGAGGTCGAACTGTCAAACTTTGATGGCGAAGGCACTTAGCCTGAGTCCCAGTTCGAGCGAGGTCGAACTGTCAAACTTTGATGGCGAAGGCACTTAGCCTGAGTCCTAGTTCGAGAGAGGTCGAACTGTCAAGCTTTGATGGCAAAGGCACTTAGCCTGAGTCCCAGTTCGAGTGAGGTCGAACTATCAAACTTTGATGGCGATTTTGACATGTGGTCTTATGTTGTACCCATGTTATGATTGTCTGCTTGACCGTGGCATTCAGGTTGCTTCGAGGTGACTTTCGATTCCTCGTTTGAAGTACCTCTGCGCCGATTTTCGACCTAACACAGTATGGTGGATGAGGGGGTATGCTCCATTTTTCTGCCCGGCGATCAGGAGGGGAAGGGGGATGCTTTGCATCACTTCTCTCCTTGCTCGGGTTGTTCGAGGTCAACAGGGCGAAAGATTTTTAGCTCCCGTTGGCGCATTCGATTCTTCTTCTTTTTTTGTTTGATGCGCCTCCATTGACTCTGGTTTAAGTTGAGTTTTCTTCTTGGTGTTTCTTTTTCTTCGATCCAGGAAGAAAGAAGTATTTTCACTAGGAAATCCCCACAGACGGCGCCAAATTGTTTGACTCAAAAGTTGTTAAACACTTTTTAAGAAAATCAATCAATATAGATGAAAGGGTAAATCATAGTCAATCATAATTAATACTGGATCGAAGAACAGAATCATAAAGATAGAAGATTGAATCGAAATGACACTTGAGAGGTTTTATTGATTACAGAAATTTGGCCCGCCTCTCCTTGAAAAGGTTCAGGAGATTACAATCAAATTATCTCTTCAAGAGTAGTCGAAAATGGAATCTCTCTCTTTTTCTGTAGGCTCCGTATCTCTTTCATAGAGTTCTGTCATTTTCTTCTTATGCTGGTGGATCACGGAGCGGAAGTCCCCTTTTTTGGCTCTTCTGCCCTCTATTTATAGTCGAGAACTTCTCGTGCTCATCGTACTTTATCTTGGCCAGGTCGGGGAGGTGATCTCCTCTCATGGAGAGGCCTCGACCTCGACGCTGGTATCGTAAATAGCAATGATTAGACGAAGTCGAGTTTGTTGGCTACTACTGCAGGATGGTTGGGACGGGGTCATTGCCGCCGTGGTCGTGTGGTTATATTTTGACCAATTCAGTGTCTATATCCGACAACCAGTTCGGGTTCATGCCGGGTTGGTCGACTACGAAAGCTATCCACCTTATTAGGAGGTTGGTGGAACAGTACATGGATAGGAAGAAGGACTTGTACATGGTGTTTATTGACTTGAAGAAAGCATATGACAAGGTCTCTAGAGAGGTCCTTTGGAGATGCCTGGAGGCTAAAAGTGTGTTGGTTGCCTACATAAGGGCGATTAGGGACATGTGTGATGGAGCTAAAACTCGGGGTAGGACAGTGGGGGGCGACTCGGAGCATTTCCTGGTTGTTATGGGGTTAAACCAAGGATCTGTACACTCAACCCGTTCTTATTTCCCTTGGTGATGGGCGCACTGACATGCCATATTCATTGGGAGGTGCCTTGGTGTATGTTATTCGCTGATGACATAGTGTTGATAGATGAGACGCGAGGCAGTGTTAACGAGAGGCTGGAGGTTTGGAGACAGGCCCTTGAGTCTAAGGGTTTCAAATTGAGCAGGACTAAGATGGAATACCTTAAATGCAAGTTCAGCGCGGAGCCGAGGGAAGCAGGCATGGAAGTGAGCTTGAATCACAGGTCACCCCCAAGAGAGACAGTTTTAGTACCTTGGGTCGGTTATCCAAGGGGGTGGGGAGATCGACGAGGATGCTACACATCGTATAGGGTGGGGTAGATGAAATGGAGATTAACATCTGGACTTATGTGTGACAAGAAGGCGCCACTGATACTCAAAGGTAAGTTTTATAGGGCGGTGGTTATGCCGGCCATGTTGTATTGGGCTGAGTGTTGACCAGTTAAGAACTCACATGTCCAGAAGATGAAAGTAGCAGAAATGAGAATGTTGAGGTAGATGTGCGCGCGAGCACACTAGGATGGATAAGATTCGGAATGAAGGCATTCGGGAGAAGTGGGCGTGGCTCCATTGGATGCCAAGATGCGGAAAGCGAGGCTCGGATGGTTCAGGCACGTACAGAGGAGAAGCCCGGATGCCCCAGTAAGAAGGTGTGAGCAATTGGTTTTGGCGGGTACGAGAAGAGTAGAGGGCGGCCTAAGAAGTATTGGGGAGAGGTGATCAGACAGGACATGACGTAACTTTAGATTTCCGGACATAACCCTTGATAGGAAGGTGTTAGGAGGTAGTTGAGTAATTTTTCTACTTTGTACCGGTGTGAGGCTAGTCTGATAGGGTTTTGTCTTTCGATTGCTAGTGGTTAATGTTGTGTTCACACTATTCTCTGTTTTTATTGTGCCGAGCCTTATTTACTGGTTATTATTATTGCTTCTCATCAGTTTTCTGGTTCTTATAATGTTGTTATTATTTCTTTGATTTTCTATTGATGATACTGATATAGTGTTTCTTTTCGTCGTCTTACGCAGAGAGTCTTTCAAAAAAACAGCCTCTCTCACCCCTCGGGGTGAGGTCTGCGTGCACACTATCCTCCCTATACCCCACTTATGGGATTCTACTGGGTTGTTGTTGTTGTATTTGGCACTGCCATAATATAGAAATTGAATATGAACTTCCTCCTATATAAAACAGAGAAGCACAGAAAGAATCGACCAACTATAGAAGCACATAAAATTACATCCAACATGGAATTTCTGTTTTCAGTTCCAATATGAGAATGCAAATAGAGCTTTCAGAAGATATGCAAGACAATACAGGTAGTTGGATTCTTTCTCAATTTTGACGTGCCAAAAACTTATATAAGCTATACACTCTGTAAGCAAGAAAGCAGGGTAAGATATGACATTCTAGCATAATAATGCCCATTAACAACAGCTCTAACACTACAGATACATTTTTGGGACAGAAGCGACGAACCACTATGACATATCGCAGGCAGCATAATAGTAAGGCAAAAAATAATAATACAAATATAAATAAAACTCAGATTATCAATTTACAACACAGTTTCAATTATGTTTTCAGTAAAATTTTCCAAATCATCATGGCAAACTAGAACCTTATCACTGCTTCAACTTGTTGATCTATGTCACTTCTACACATTATGAATTTCTCACGTTAACCAATTGATAATGATACAAATTGACAACAGAAGATCAAAAAGTAAACAGGTGACTGGATCTAAATGCAGAGAGGAGATCATACAGGTTTCAATACTCCCATCCAAATAAGACACCTCAGCAACCCATCACTGCACAATTATAAACAAAATTTCCTGAATGTTTTCTGCCCAATAAATTCCAGTTTGGTGCGCCTTCCGCAGGTTCCCAAGAATTAATCTCAATGAATCCCCCATTCAACGCTCTAGGTCCTCCAATAACTATAAGCTGATCCCCACATGCCCTAAATGCAAGCCCCCAACCATTCATAGAAGTCGCATGCTCAGGCAATCTTCCTATAGTAATCCATAAGTTTCTTCCCTTATCATATTTCCAGAGTTCATTTTCAGCGTAATATGCAGCATATAACTCATTCTTTACAACAGCTAAGAGTGGAGGTGCCTTAGCTGCTGCAAGAGCATCATTAGCTCCAGCCCCTCTATTACGTGCTGGGTACATATCAGGTACCTCGATCCAAGACCTTGCTTTCAAATCATACACTTCGCCACAAGTAAGCACGGTTGAATTGCCAACACCAACCCCACCAATTACGTAGAACTTCCCATCCATGAATACACCTGAACACAATTTTCTTGGTTTATTCATGCTTGGGAGAGTCTCCCATGTTCCTGTTTCGGAATTATAAAGCTCCGCTGAGCTTAGAATATTTCCCCTTGAGTCACAACCGCCTGCTACAATTGCAATTTCCCCAAGGCTTGTAGAGCCAAAGAGGCACCTAGGTGTGTTTGTTTTCATCCCCGATGACCATGAGTTGGTGAGGATGCTGTATTTGTAGATGACATGGTACTCTATTTCCTTGCCAAAGACAAGAAGTTCAGTACCAACTGCCAGTGATTCCTTGTCAGAACACATGAAGCATTCATTTGATGTCATTGTTGGCAAATGCATCCACCTACGACGAATGGGATCAAAGGCCTCCCATTCAAGGAGGTTGCAAGAGAAATAAACCCAATGTTCTATGATACCCATCTGTCTCCTGAGCCTATAAAGTTCTCCACTCTGAATTAAAGACCTAAAGCTCTGGTTCAATGAAGAAATGGACCCATAATCTGACCTTGAGCAATGAAGCGGGCAATTTATTGAAAGGTCTCGCCCAATTTGGTGGATTAAAGAACTTGAATCAGAATGAGTGCCACTATCATGCTGCTTATCTGATTGTTCCTCTTGAGAGAGCGAAAGATCATGAAGACACTGCATGGTTTCCTCCTTCTCTAGGGCATCAAGCAGCTTTGATGACTTTCTCAAACCAATGTCTGCTACATCCTCCAAAGGACGCTTTCCCTTTGAGTGCTCAATAACATGGAAAGCATAGTATATCCACTTGCTCTCTTGCTCGCACGCAGAAGGCAAGTCCCTTGAAACAAGATATGATCCCTCCAACATGGTGCTTGATATGCACAGGGGTCGGCAAAATCACTCCTCGCCTGCAAAAGCAAAGCCCACTCCTTCCTTAAAAAATATGCCAAATAATCAAAAAAGAATTTCAATTTTATAGGTATTCAAATAAGAATATTACAGCTACTACAACAGAATCTTTCAATAGAATGAAAACATTAACTAACAGAACCGTACGACTTGGTTCCCTCCAAACACTAGACAGAGCAAGCATATAGTATTCCTTCAATGATAAGAGATCAACAGAAAAGCATGGAAGTCAAATCAAAGGATTTATGGTCCTTCTAACAAAGATAAATAGGTGAAAGTCGATGCAACATTATAACCAAATCAATTGTTAACGAGCTAAGAAATTACTATTGGAGTACCTGTTAGTTCAAAGCCTATGTCTAACCGAAAGCAATGGCACTACAAAAAGGAAAGGCGGAGAAACCACATGTTTTTACTCCTTTATGACATCTAATTAGTAGGATTCCGTGGGAAAAGAAAAGGGAAAACGGATTACCACCATTGATGAGTTTGGATTCATTAGGAAAGAAAGAATGGAAAACGATAACTACCTTTCATGAGTTTTGTTATTACATTTGTAACCGCCACAACCATTTTTCTATGGGAAATTTCCAAACATGTGACGCAGGACGCTTCCTTGGGAAGTTTTTCACGACTTTTGCAAACATGTTCCTCACACGACAAACTCGAGAAGATAATTTTTCTCCTCCCCATTTGCCTCTTTTTTATTCCAATGTAACAACTTTCTTGCATTGGATTATCAATTATTCATCAAGTCAGGCAACACAATTCCTTCATGTTGGTTTAGTGCCATTTAATCCAACAATACACAATGAACGCATATAAGTCACAGAAAAGATAATGCATTTATTAACATACATTATGAATTAAGACATAAGGTCTGGTTTATGCACCTTCCCTCTTTGTAATTTGTACAGGTAACTGAAAGGGCTCTTTACACAAATAGCCGGCCGGATTCACTGTTTACTTTTCCAGTTTCCTAGCCGGTATACATACATTATACACTGGTTATATACGTTTATACATGTATAGATTATACACCTTCCGGCTATTTTTAGTTTAAGCGGCTGGGTGATCGGCTATTTAGGTTAATTCTTATATTTGGAAAGTTCTCACTACTTACGAAACATCCAAATAAACGATAAACTTCAATTAACTTTGTTGCAAATATTTTGATTCAGGCCAATTTATTAGCAGCCTGCTGCCTCCAACCAATTTTAAAAAATAACCAGCAAAACAATAACTGCTAGAATCAAAGATTCCTAACAAATTTGTAAAAAAGATCCTTACCTTGATAATTACAACAACAATCCACTATAATCCCATTCAGTGGGGTCTGGGGAGGGTAGTGTGTACGCAGACCTTACACCCTGGGGTAGAGAGGCTGTTTCCAAATAGACCCTCGGCATCCATCCTCCAAGAACTTCCCACCTTGCTCTTGGCTCTTGGGGAGACTCGAACTCACAACCCCTTGGGAAGACCTTACCTTGATAATTATGAACATTTAATTATATCGTCCACAGTTAGCATAAGAAAAAAAAATCATCTTTGAGGACTCGTAAGATAAACAGTGAAAACTCATACATTCACAATTTAAAAAAAAACAAATATTTTGTCTAGAAAGCACCAAATAAACCTAATAGCAGTCCCATGAAACGGAAAAAATCAAGCGAAACTTCTAGGTCCAACCCCACCAGCTAATCACCTTATTCTCAAATCTCAATTAACATAAAGCTCATACTCAATGCCAATCTTAAAATAAAGCAAGACATATAAAATTTACTGGAAACAAACTTAAAGCAGAAAAATACAGAACCCATAAAACTTCAATACAAAAAGGAAAGGAACTTACTGATTTTTGCGAAATGATAAATCCACAGAAGTTGTTACAAACCCATCAAAAAGAGAACTTCCATCCTTAATGTTAAGCAAAAACGGCAGCAACTATTAAACAAGTTCAGTAGACAAGTGTTGTTGGTCAGGACCTTTTCCTTTGTATATTTACATTTTTATGAGGCCCCCTCGAATCTCAGAGACAGACAGCTGTTTTCTTTTTCTCTCAGTCACTCTTTTGAGTAATTTTTTTTTTTTAGAGAGACAGAAATACTGTAGTTGGAAGGATGAAGTGATAATTGGTTTTTCTCTTTTCTTTTCTTTTTTTTTTCCTGTTGGATTGATTAATCTGGTAATCGCTTTTTTTTTTTAGAGATACAGATAAATATTGTAGTAGGAAGGATGGAATGATAATTGCTTTTTCTCTTTTCTTTTCTTTTCTTTTTCCTGTTGGATTGATTAATGAGTGATAAGTGCTTTTTTTTTTTTAGAGAGAGACAGATAAATATTGTAGTATGAAGGATGAAGTGATAATTGCTTTTTCTCTTTTCTTTTCTTTTCTTTTTCCTGTTGGTTAATTAATGAGTGATAATTGCTTTTTTTTTTTTAGAGAGACAGAGAAATACTGTAGTAGGAAGGATGGAGTGAAAATTGCTTTTTCTCTTTTCTTTCTTTTCTTTTTCCTGTTGGATTGATTAATGAGTGATAATTATTTTTTTTTGAGACAGAGAAATATTGTAGTAGGAAGGATGGAGTGATAATTACTTTTTCTCTTTTCTTTTCTTTTCTTTTTTCTGTTGGATTGATTAATGGCCGATAATTGCTTTTTTTTTCTCTTTTTTTCTCTTTTAGAGAGACAGAGAAATACTGTAGTAGGAAGGATGGAGTGATAATTGCTTTTTCTCTTTTCTTTTCTTTTCTTTTTCCTGTTGAATTGATTAATGAGTGATAATTGCTTTTTTTTTTAGAGAGACAGAGAAATACTGTAGTAGGAAGGATGGAGTGATAATTGCTTTTTCTCTTTTCTTTTCTTTTCTTTTTCCTGTTGGATTGATTAATGGCTGATAATAATAAAAAATTCGACTACATTTAAGGGAAAAGAGGTGGGGGTGGCGGTGGGTGGGACCAGAAACGGCAGAGCAAGAAGTGACGGGGTTCATTGGAAGGAACGACATTGATAACGGTCGTTTGCGCACGTGTAATTTCTCTTCGCACGCGAAACGGTTTTTGCCTTTTTGCAGGGGTTTTCTATAAAAGGGTATTCCCGTTCTCCGTACGCCACTCCGTTATCTAGAGCTTCGTTCCTTCCTAATTTTTCTCCCTTCGATCTATTACTTAACATTCGATGCAGGGAACTTTCAAAAATGTCAGAGAGATTTATTGTTAGCATAGCTATAATTTAGTTAATTATATTCATATCTATCAATTATTTACCACAGGATATATGTTGTTGTATTCAATGTGATTATATACACTGTTTATCTTAAAAATGATAAGTACAATTAGATTTGATTTTGTGGTTCTAAAAATACGTTATTTATTTTAATGCTAGTTGTTGGGCAATTGATGCTAAGAATGAGTTAGTAAAATGAGATAAAAGCGTGAGACAATGTATAACGCAAACCGAATGGTCGTGGATTGGAGCCTCGAGCTGGCCTTAGCTGGGCAGCGAAGTCGAGCTAATGAGCTCGATCGGGGATGATCGATGGAGAACTAAGAGTTCTGAGAGCCTTGATGGTGGCTCTTTATGATCAATGATGAGCAATAAATGAAAAATAGTTAATAAGAAACAATAAATGTAAGCAGTAAGATCAAGGGAGAGACAATGGAGAATGTTTAAGTTAGAGAACTTAGAATGTTCTTGTTCTTCTATTCAATATGTTGTGCGCGAGGAATGACAAGGGTCCCCTTTTTATAGGAGGAGGAATCCCAACACGGTACATATGTAATTATTATAAAGAAACATAGCTGGAACAACTTATTTACTACTAGTACAGACTAGTACTACTCTTGCAGGTATTGTCAGCTTTAGTCACGTGCCTTGGGAACCTCCCGCTTGTCCATGGTAGCCACCGATTTATGTTGCCCTGAGGTCGAGCTAAGGAACCCTCGGGGTTGAACCTCGAGTTGTGCCTCGGGCCTCCCAAGTGAAGCTACGGAATGTCACAATGATCGCAAAATCAGACTCTTCGATTTTAGCCGTATGCAGATAGTCCCCGCGTTTCTTAGAGTAAAATGATAAGAAATGGTCTTGAATCCTTGCATCTTCGATACTTCCATCACGACGATAGTTACGCCTTATCAAGCGATTAACGCGAAAAGTAGGGTGTCTAAAGGTCGCATCCGAGGATGTACCCTCGAAAGTTGTTTAGGCTCTTTGGCTGTTATTTTTTGCTTCTTTGTTTCTGTGAAAGGATCCCTCGTGGGCTTTTGTAATCGTCGCTTGTTAATACAACAATTTCTTCAATTTGCTTTTGTCTTGTGCTGGATTCCCTTTTGCCTGTGTTTGCGAAAAATCCAACCGTGTGATTTTATCGGCCAGTCTGAATACTGGACTCAGACATAGGAATTCCTTTGGTTCTCGATTGGTTAATATGATAATCCTTGAAACACTTTGCCATTCCCCGGACTATGTCTGGATTGATCTGATACAAACTTAGCTCAAAGTAGCAAAATCCTCAAGTAAGAGGAAAGCAAACTCATATATAGAGCAAGCGGCGACTGTCCGCCTACTCTAAAGGCCAATTAGTTTTGACTAGGACATTATCACTTTCGGAGAAGTGAACCGGCGGGACCACCTCAATCACTTCATGGCCATGTCATACGAATGACACTGTCGTACAACGTTCGAGGGGTCACAGATTCCCATATCAACCTAGCCTCGAGATGGTGCCCCATCTCGAGGATTTCTGTTGCTATAACGATGGGCTCTAAGGAGCTATCCACATAAACCTAGCCTCAAGATGGTGCCCGATCTCGAGGATCTCTGCTATTACAATTGCGGGTCATTCACCCAATTCTTTGGCCCCCGGGCTACCTAAGTCTGTGTCAGTTCTCATCCGAGGATTATTAATAAAGCCTCAAGGCTATCTTTATTTCGATTTCAAATGCTCGTTTGATTACTAAGCCCAAGGGCCACCCGAGTTCGAGTGTATCCTCGCTCAGGGACTATTTGCAATCTCTCCTTCCCTGTGTCAGCTCTTTCACCATTTAATTTGAAGCTTTCGCCTAAGTTCTCATTTCCTCTTTCTCGTTTCACCATAGTTATGGCTGCTACACCCAAGCCCATTCACCAAGAAGAGGAGTGTTCCGCCTCTGCTTCCCGCTCGGTTGGTGGACACCGCCGGCGTCCGGTGAGCCAACTTCGAGATGTTTCGTTTCGAGGAGGGAATTTACGTTAGAGAGACCTCCCAATGTTCAGGGCCATTGGGAGCATGCATCGAGGTCCATTTCATCAATAGGAGAGGAACACCTCGAGGCAGTAAGGAGAGACTGCAGATGGGGAGAAAAGGTGGTACTGCGGGTACCTTCCCCGAAATAGAACATCATGGCTCATGTAGATGGGTTTTTGAACGTATACGTGTACCCTTTTACGTTGGGCCCTCTCGATAGAGTCGTGCTTGACTTCTGTCGAAGATATCGGGCTACCCTGGCACAGGTTCACCCGTCGTTCTGGAGGATAGTATTGATGATGAGGTTCTTTGTGGAGGAAGTCGGGCTCGAGTTCACCCTCATTCATCTCATTAGATTGTTTCAGCCCTTGAATTATCGAGGCTTGATTATTCTATAATATCGATCCACCCGACCCTTTTTTGTCAGTAACGAAGAAGACTGGGACCGAGGGTGAATGAATCGATTTGTTCGAGTGCGAACTGTTGACGTTATTCCTGTAGAATTCCTGCCATTCCCTGAGAAATGGAATTTCACACGTAAGTGGTACACTTGTGCTTTTATCATCTTTGTTTATAGTGGAGGCAGACTCCGTAATGGTGTTTTCTTTCCCTTTCCGCAACAGTCCTGTGGTTGTCGTACGAGGTCCCTAATTTGGTGGATTGGACTCAAAAACAGGCAGCTTGATCGACCTACGATGAGCGTAAGTGGCGAGATTTGTCGAAGGGTATATGGGAGGCAAAACATCATGGTGAGTACCGCGTGATCCTTCTTTCTAAGGAATATTTCCCTCTGTGTTTCCTAACTTCTTTACTGCAGGTGTTGGAGAATTTGTTGAGGTAAGACCAAGCTCTCTCAGAGAGGAGGGAGGATCATCGGCTTCGTGGCTGAAGAGTGATAACAAGCGCAAGGAATCCTCGGCGGGCGAGGAGATTTGTAGTGAAGTAGGGCCTGCCCGGAATCGAAAGGATACGCCACCGCTGAGGTAGATCATGTACCTATCGGCCGTCGTATAGACATTGGCACGACAGAAGGGAGCGGCCATGCATTAATGGCTCAAGCCGAGGGCCTTCCGGGGTAGCTGAACTCGCAATATCCGAGATTTCTAGCCTCGAAGAAGTGGCTCCTTCTCTGCCACCGTCTTTTTTTCCCGTTGAAGGTAATTCGAGGGATACAGATGTTCTGCCGCCATCGTCTTCTCCCGTCAAAGGTACTTCGAGGGATGCGAATGTTCTGCTGCCATCCTCTTCTCCTGTCGAAGTTATTTCGAGGGATGTTCGAGGCTAAGGGATGCCTAAGTCAAGTGGGGCCTCGAGCGATCATATCCCCGCCGAGAGCTGTTCGATTGGGGCCGATGGGATCAAGCCAGTAGATGCACGCTCAACTTTTAACGAGGCTCAACGGCTTTGTTCTGAGGTGAGCTTTGGTTGACTTTGTTGGTTTTTTGATTTTGCATTTTCATTTTCTCATTGGGTTTCTTTTTTATAGGCTTTTGGCAAACTCAAGTCCAAGCTACTCCGCCGGGAAGCCCGGTTGCGGAAAGCCTTTGGCATGGAGAAATCCCTTAGGCTTCTCTGCGATAAAAGGGCAAAAGAGTTGATATACCTTTGGTATGAGACGAGTCGAAGCCCGGACTACGAAGACCGCCTCGAGAGACAGGTAACCTTTATTTCGAAGGGGTGCATATTTTCTCATCTATCGTCGGAGATTAACACTTTGATGCTTCAGTTGTAGAGTAAGACGGAGGACCTGGAACGCCTTTGGGGCGAAGTTGGTCAGGCCAGGAATGAGTATAACGAGTTAAATGCTCAGATAGATGCCCAAGTTACGGCCAAGAAGAATGCATTGGCCAAGGTTTCTGCCCTGGAAGTGGAACTCCGGAATGCTCACGAAAACAGCTCTATCCGGGCGAGCACGATCGTAAGGCTCTAGTCTGACCTTTTGAAGATGAAGGCCAAGGTCATGGATGCCCAGGCTGAAGCTGAAGAGATTCGAACTAAGAGTGATAAGAA